AAATAAGGTGTGTCCTGGGCAAATCCACAGCTTTTGCAGTATCAGCACAGAATTATTATCACAATTTCTGAACAGAAAGGCCCATGCTATTCATCCTGCAGTTCGCCAAATCTCAGCCAGAAACCAGAGGATGTATGTATGTATATGTATATCTATGTACAAATAGATATGCATATATATATATATATATATATATATATATATATATATATATATATATATATATATATATATATATATATATATATATATATATATATATATATATATATAACACATACATATGCATATAAATGAGCCAGAGCTTGATATTGATTTTGCAATCTGCATGAGTCATGCGTGAAGTGCTCCAATGTACATATGGTCTGAACTTAGTCAAATGAAAAATGGAGGGATTCTTCAAGTACTTCACCTTTTTTAGAAGAAGAAAATCTCCACTGCGAGCGTTTTATGCGCAGTGTGAAACGGGCACAGCCAGCTCACGTTAGCAGAATTGGCCAAGTTGGAAATCATACAACCCAAACAACATTTTTAGCCCCAAAAATAACGGGCAGGCAATTAGCATTATTTACTTCGTCGTTTTGACCATTGCTACTCACAATGCCCGCCTGAGTGACTATCATCTTCAAGAAATTACCATCTGACACTATTAAAATTTCGGCAACAGCCCAGTAACGTGATTTTTAGCTCGCAGACAGCAGACGATTTATAACACGTACTTAAAGGGCAACCTAAGGACCCAATCACGGACATGCGAGAAACCAAGAATAGTATCCCAGTTCTGCACATTCGTGTCTCGAATTATCTGTTGGTGCGCTGAGCCAACAAACTCACGCTTATTAGAACCAAACACATCGTGACGACAATGTCGCTTAAGCTACAACACTTAGGTTCAATTAATATGGCTACTCCGTTGCCGTGAGATCCTGCCATCATGTCGTGCGGGGGGACTGTCGTATTACCCTCTTAAAATAGTGCACCTCTTGTACAATTCCAACGAGCGAGGCCTGAAATCGCTCTGACATCCAGAGACCTACTCTGCCGGGATAATATGCCAACAGCAATCCAAAGAAAACGGACCAAGCCCCGGGAAAATAAGACTGAAGCAAGGCCAACGTTTTCGGTACGGTACATATACGTCTATTAGCGTAGTGCACCTCACACACGAGTCCGGATAATGCGATTCACACTTATTATAACTTAACACATCGTGGCTGACAATGTCGGTGGAACTGCAAGACTTTGGTCCGATGAATAAGACTTATGCATTGCCGTGAGATGTTACCATCATGTGCTGGCGGACTGCAGTAGCGCCCTCTTCAAGCAGTACACCTCTTGTATAATTCCAATTGGCAAGACCTAAAAACAGCTCCGACATCCAAAGACATCCTCTGCCGAGACAATATGCCAACAGCAATCCTAAGGAAACGGACCTAGCCCCGGAAATCGAAGATTGAAGCAAAGCCGAGGTACGGCACATATGCATCTATTAGCGTATATATGCCGTACCGGAACATCCAAACCGTACCCAAACTGACATTCAAAGACATGCTCTACCGAGAGAATATGCTAACAACAATGTCAAAGTAATAAGCCAAGCCCCGGAAACCGAAGACCGAAGTAAATCCCACGTTTTCAGTACGGTACATATGCCTTAATTGGCGCGTTGCACCGTATACACGGGTCCGGATGATGCAATTCACATTTGCTAGAAATAAATATGCCGTGCGGACATTGTCGGTTCAGTTACAACACTTAGGTTCAATGAATAAGACCCATGCATTGTCGTGAGATGCTTGCCATCATGTGCGGACGGACTGCAGTAGCAGCCTCTTAAAGTAGTGCACCTCTTGTATAATTCGAATTGACAAGACCTAAAAACCGCTCTGACATCCAAATACATGCTCTACCGAGATCATATGCCGACAGCAGCCCCAGGGAAATAGGCCAAGCCCCGCAAACCAAAGACCGAAGCAAAGCCAACGTTTTCGGTACGGCAATATTACGTTTATTGGCGCGGGGCACTTAAACACCAGTCCTTATAGTTCGATTCACACTTACTAGAAGTAAACACGTCGTAACGACAATGTCGTACTTCGGTTCAATGAACAAGACTCATGCATTGCCGTGAGATATCACCATCATGTTGCACGGACTGACCGTAGAAGCAACCCCTTTAAATTGATGTACCTCTTGCATTATTCCAGTTGGCGAGACCTGGAAACGCCTCTGGCATCCAACAGCATTCTCTATCGAGATAGTACTGTCGTGTTTAAGGTGCGCTGCGCTTATAAACATGTATGCCACCGTACCGAAAACGTTGGCCTCGCTTCGGTCTTCGGTTTCCGGGGCTTGGCCGGCCCCCTTAGAATTGCTGTTGGCACATTATCTCGGTAGAGTATGTCTTTGGATGTCAAAGCGGTTTTTAGGTCTCACCAATTGGAATTATACAAGAAGTGCACTTCTTTAAGAAGACGCTACTACAGTCCATCCGCACATGCTGGTGACATCTCAAGATAGTGCAAGAGTCTTATTCATTGAACCAAAGTATTGCTGCTCAGCCGACATTGTCGGCACAATGTGTTTATTTCTACTTCGTGTGAATCGCATTATAAGGACTCTACTTTCAGGTGCCCCGTACGAATACACGTATGTGTACCGTACCGAAAGCGTTGCCTTTGCTTCGGTCCTCGGTTTCCGAGGCTTGGCTTCTTTCCTTGGGGTTCATGTCGGCATATTATTTCGGCAGGGTATGTCTTTGCACATCAGAGCGGTTTTTAGGTCTCGCCAATCGGAATTATACAAGAGGTGCACTACTTTAAGCGGGTGCTACTGCAGTCCGTCCGCACATGATGGCAACATCTCACGACAATGCATGGGTCTTATTCATTAAAGCGAAGTGTTGTAACTGAACGGACGTTGTCCGCACGACGTATTTATTTCTAGCAAGTGTGAATTGCATTATCCGGACCCGCGTATGAAGTGCACTGCGCCAGTTAAAGCATATGTACCGTACTGAAAACGTGGGATTTCTTCAGTCTTCGATTTCCGGGGCTTGGTCCGTTTCCTTAGGATTGATATTTGCATATTATCTCGGTAGAGGATGCCTTTGGATGTCGGAGCGGTTTTTAGGTCTTGCCAATGGGAATTATACAAGAGGTGTACTACTTGAAGAGGGTGCTATTGCAGTCCGCCCGCACATGATGGCAACATCTCACGGCAATGCATGAGTCTTATTTATCGGACCGAAGTCTTGCAGTTCCACCGACATTGTCAGCACGATGTGTTAAGTTCTAGTAAGTGTGAATCGCATTATCCGGACTCGTGTGTGAGGTGCAATACGCTAATAGACGTATATGTACCGTACCGAAAACGCTGGCCTTGATTCAGTCTTAGTTTTCCGGGGCTTGGTCCGTTACCCTAGGATTGCTGTTGGCATATTATCTCGGCAGAGTATGTCTCTGGATGTCAGAGCGATTTCAGGCCTCGCTCGTTGGAACTGTACAACAGGTGCACTACTTTAAGAGGGTGCTACGACAGTCCCTCCGCACGACATGATGGCAGCATCTCACGGCAATGGAGTATTCATATTAATTGAACCCAAGTGTTGTAGCTTAAGCGACATTGTCGTCACGATGTGTTTGGTTCCAATAAGTGCGAATCGCATTATTCAGACTCGTGTATGAGGTGCACTAATAGACGTTAATGTACCGCGCCGAAGACGTTGGCTTGGCATCGGTGTTGGGTTCCCGTGGCTTGGTCGGTTTTTTTAAGGTTGCTGGAAATGCCTCAGTTCAGCCGATATTGTTGGGCCTTTCTCTGTGTTGTCTGTTTGGAAATATCGATTTAAGCTTCACAACTGGAAATAAATTAGGAGTGCAATAATAAAGTAAGAAGTCGAGAGAAGTGCAATGATAAGGTAAGAGTGTAGGCGCCTTTCTGGTCTGCGCGTGATGTGCCGTAAGTTATCAAATATTTGAAAATAATGATCAAAATTATGTTATGTACGAAGGCTCAGCGCACCAATAGATAATTAGAGACATGAATGTGCAGAATTGGGATACTATTCTTGGTTTCTCGTATGTCCGTGATTTGGTGCTTAGGTTGACCTTTTAGTACACGTTATAAATTGTCTGCCGCCTGCGCTCATGCGAGCACTGTGAGTAGCAATGGTCGAAACGACAAAATGAATAATGTTAATTGCCCGCTCATCATTTTGGTGCTAAACATGTTGTTTGGGTTGCATGATTTCCAAGTTGGCCGATTCTGCTAACGTGAGTTGGCTGTGCCCGTTTCGTACTGCGCATAAAACGCTCGCGGTGGAGATTTTTCTTTTTCTAAAAAAGGTTAAGTACTTGAAGAATCCCAAATGGAGCAGCTGAGTCACGAGCTGAGTCAGATTCCACAGTCTGCGAGCCAGTCCGGGACTGGTTCAAGGCATTCGAGTCAAACCCAAGTCTGATGCTAACCACATCTCGAGACTAGTATCCTGTCCATTGTACTACCCGGATGTCAATATCTGTTCCAAAACCCTGTAGTCCAGGATATGTCATTATCACACTGAGCCGGGTAGATCACACTCTTCCGTTAATTACGCGCGAGAGTCTCTCCACGCACGCTTCCCAATCACTTCTACCATCCCCCCCACCCCCCCCCCACCCCCCCCCCCCCCACTCACCACCAACCGACCGACCTCGCCGCGCACTAGGAGCAACTCGCGTTCACATGGGAATTGAGATCCCGATATGGTGAAGGTTTTCTACTCCTATCGAAAGAAAGGAAATTCATGACGTCCATCTTTATACAACCTCATTTCCTCTGCCTGGCCTTGGGTTACCGGGCTGCTCTGTTTAGTGTCTATACGCACTAAACTTCGCCACTTTTAGTACGAATTGGTACTAAACACCGTTCCTCTTAGCAAGCATGCGTACTAAATTTTCTCGAGGATATCTTGCTATTGCCTGAATCTGGCGCTTGTGCTACGATTCCGATAAATTTATTTTTATATATCGCCTTGGCTTGAGCGTGGTCGGATGTCGGCGGAGCGGGTACGAATCGAGGCACGTTAAAACTGGGCCGATGCGGCTGATCGGAGTGGTACGTGGGGTGATATTACATTTGGAGTCGTTGCGATCGTCTCCAAATAATAAACACCTTGTCATTACCGTGTGATTGTGTCCTCATGAGCCATGACCACGTGTTGTGATAGAGGATCTCAATGATGTTGGATATGCTGTTATCATGTAGATTGCAGCTTCTAGCTTTATAAAGTGGTGGTCGAAGTTGCCGATGCTTACTGCATTATTGTTCTAAAATATTAATCAGTATTGGTACATGTTTGTTTGTGAGTCTATGATATATGTTCTGCAGGCATGTAGGTTCTCTCAATTTACCATGAACTATAAATGATGCATTTAGGCCTCAGGATAGTGCTATGATGCATAGTCCAGGTCAGGTCAAATGCTGACAGGATGAGCCATACAAAATGCACAGTATGTTAGTTGCAGAAAGTAGGCATCATCTCTGTTTCCTGTTGATGCCCATTTTTATTTTGGGGTATGGTGAAGGGTGGACCCTGGCTCTTTTGTTGGGTCACCAGAAATATAAAGCCAGATTGTAGCTATTGAACGCACCTTATGATGCAAACATTTTCATTATTAAAGTTGGGAAATGTGGGCCAAATGCTTTGTAAATTTCTGAATGGCAGTTAATGGTGCCCTTATAAAAAACATTTCTTGATTTTACTGGTTTTGTGGTAGAGAGGATGAGTTGTAAAAAGTGTTAGAATGGTGATGAATGTTAGAATGGAAAAAAACAATGAAAAGGTCTCATTTTCCTCCCAGATGTTAGAAAAAATTTATTTCTGTCAGGCTGCCTCTGTTTACCCTTGGCCATACTATGATATAGATGTTGAGGCATTGCATGTCTCAAAATTGTGTGTGATTGATGTGTCTCAAGATTCACAAGTAAAGCAAATTTGTGTTTTGCATTAATAGTTTGTTTCAATATGATTTTACATAAAGATATTTACAATGCATTTTGATTCAATCAATCATCAGCTTCTTTATCCACTTTAAGTATTTTTAGCGCAGCTTGTCATGAGTTCATAAAATATTGAACATGCCATGTATTACATAACAAATGCTGACTCATGGATGCATTCTTTTCAGGGCATGAACACCAGAATGGATGTTGTAACTGATGATATCAGCGGATTCTTCGACCTCAACATCAGCTCCAGTGTTCAGTCAGGCACAAAACTTCAAAATGTTTTGGATCGAGCAGCCATGTGTAGGTTTGTTAGGTACTGTGTGATATGTGCTAGACAGTAAGCAGCAGCCAGTTTATTGGAGGACTCACCAAAGAACAAGACTGTGTCTGAGGCTGAATAGTAGATGTGGATGCTGTTATGTGGAGTGCATGGTAATGAAGGCAGTGGTGTGGAATGCCAGCAAAAAAGAGGAAAATAGGCAACAAGAGGACTGACATGCCACATTATCACTAATCTGGCTTTGATGCTAGGCAGCTTGAAATATGCTGTGATGCATCATATCTTTGGAAATACATCTAAATCATGTGCCATGGAGCAGTGAAGATTATGGACAATTTTGGCTATTTCGTGCAACAATTTTAACAAATTACAGCATTATTTCTCAGTGGAGCATTTGTGTGAGACTAGCCAAAGCACAGTTGAAACATTGCCTGTTGTGTTCACATATTCCTGTGGTGTGAATGGAGAGTCTGCCATACCAACAATCCTATAAAAATACATATGGCTGCCCTGAGAGCACTTATGGCTGCACTGTGCTTCATTTGACCAACCCTGAGGCAGTTAAGATGGCGATCACGAGCACCTAGTGTGCTGAGCGAGAATGCCTTGCCAGCCTGGGTGCGTAGTTGTACGGCAGGGCGTTCGCCCACAACTGCGTGCGCAAGGTCGAGGGTTCGAATATGGATCCCAGTCTGTGTTTTTTTTTACTCCCCGCTCCCGTCCCTGCTGATTGAGCGATCCCGCCACAATCAGCCGGACATAATGTGACACTCATTTAACTCCCAAGAATGGTAAATGCATTATTATGTGATGTAATGTTATGGTATTATGTTACCACTTCGTTGTGTGTAGTGTACATATACACATGGTATGTGCACAATGTGGTATCGATGGTGCATTAGTTTTTCTGGGAGAACCATAGGTACGGTCACCGCGGTGCCTGCAAGGGTGAGAGACACGCGACGTTTCATAGCCCCAATAGCTGGGTGTGTCGTAAAGCCTCAATAGTATGCATGTATGTGCGAGGCTTGTACTCGCAAGTTGGGTTCTTTTCCTAAAGTTCTGGGTTTTTGGAACTGATACGATTAAGACACTAAGCTTTTCATAAAATAATGCCTGATACCCCAAGGTGATCAATCCTCCATAGATTAATTTTCACAGACACTACTCAACTGACATTGTGTTTATTTTCGTCATTACAGTGGGCTACACGACAGTGGCGGTTAATGTCACAGTAAACCTGGATGAATTGGAGTCAGTTACATCAAAAAAGAAGAAGATTAGAAAGGGTGCGCAGGCAGCGGACACACCATTGACAGACGGTTTTCCAGACCCAAATGAAATTCAGTTTTCCGCTCCTGTCTGCTCTGTAAGTTAAACACTTGCCGCAGGTCATTCCACTTATTTTTGTTTTCTTCCCTGCCCAGCGTGTCCATTGTATTGGCACCGGTATTGTGTACGCTTCGTAACGTATATGTGTCGAGGACCTGTGTAGTGGCTGACAATGTTCCGGTCATCTCTTCCTCGCTTCCTGAGATGGATATAAACAATGTGATCAGGTGCGGAGGAAGCGTATAAGATAGTTCGGTTGGTGGATGCCGGGACCGCAATATTCCACAGCGCATTGCGGGACGGAAGTGTAGTTGTCTTTCAATCCACCCACAACTTGGAAAATAGAGTGGGTCAAACCCGGAGAGAAATCCGTTTATCGGCTCGTTTGGGGGCAGGTTGTGTCATCTTTCCGCTCCTCAACCGCCCGCCCCAAGTAATGTTGCGAAACTACTCGTCTGTCGCAGGGAACAGGACGGAAGCTTCGGGTCTTGAAGCGCGTAACTCTGGCATTCTCCGGCCAGGGTGACATGTCACGCATCGTGAGTATGGCTGAACAAGTGTACCTCGTTTGCTCGTGGTTCGGCGACCCGGACAGGTGGATTGGCAACTGTCCAAATAGAGTTGACCAGGTACAGGGCGGGCGTGGCGTAGCATGTTACGACACATATTCAAATAAAATCATCAAAAGCACAGTCTGAAGACAATGATCATCTGATGACCTGAAGCAGCAAACTTACATGATGTGTCCGGGCTACACTTAATGAATGCAGTGCAGGTGCTGTGAACGTAAAACATCACGCAAAACATTGGAAAGGTTTTGAAAAAAAACGTTCTGCTGTCATTTCTGTATTTTAGCTTAATTGCAACGTTTGAAATAAGGTATATTTGTTGTGTCACAGAGACGTAGTCTTCAATTTAGTTGGGGTGGGATGGGGACTAACGCCCCCCCCCCTTCAACTAGGGCCCCAGCCCCCCCCCCCCCCTCCCCTCTCAACTTTGGCGTGCCAGAGTCGGAGAGAATCCTGTTTGCTGGTATATTTTGGTTTTGGGACCAGGTCGGTTCATTTTTCGTTGCCCAGCCCCCCCCCCCCTTAATAAATCCCCTTAAGAAAAACCATGCGCCTGTCACGTCATTATGTATTCATTGTCATTTCCTTGTAGAACATTGTTTCTCTGTGAAACCCGTTTGTTTTCCATTTATGCTTCTTTTCTGTCCTTTTTTAGGGGCGGTCCACCAACCTGAAAAGGTTCGACTTGTTGGCAGTTCAGCCGACTACCCAGGCTGCATTCAACGTAAGTTTTATTGCGCATCCGTCGTACGGCCTGATGATATTTCTGCGGTTATGATGACGATGCACCTTGAATTGGCTTCTTTGGCGCAGAAAATATGCACAACTTTGTCTCACATAGATGTTGACATGTGCTGAGGAGTTCCCACAGCTACGGACTTACGATAGTCACGTAAAATAGAGCAAAGGACGCAGATATAGGTGGCACACTACACGAAAAGATTTGCTCACCACCTTGACAAATAGGTCAAGACAGCCCTGAAGCCTGTCTTTGTTGGACACCTTAATCTTAATATGCCTTAATCCAACGCCACTGAACTAGCTGCTTGCGCGCGCGTATGTGTTTCCAGCTGGCGTGCCAGACACTGTCGATCGACATCATCAGCATCGACCCTCTGTCGTTCCGCGGCTTCATGCTGAGCCGGAAGCTGAGCGGGCTGGCGTCCCGCCGCGGTATCGCTCTGGAGCTGGTGTACGCACCGGCGCTCTCGGCGGGCGCTGGGCGCCGCCAGCTGCTTCTTACTGCGCTCACCGTCACTAACGTCACCGGCGGCAAGGTGCGACCCCGCTCACATTACCTCGCGATGTACAGCACCCCCCCCCCCCCCCCCCCCGGCAGTGACAGCGAGGTGCGGCCCTTCCTGGCTTTTACCCGTGGCAGGGATGCATAACACCTTGTTCGACAGTGAGCAATCGGCAGCGTGTCTGTCGTGTCATAGTTACCGGTCTGTATTTCCAACTCGGAGTCATGGAAAATGGCATCGTCCGGCGCGAATGTCGCGGTTTGATGTCTGATGTCATCAGCTGACTTATCGGGACGTGTTTCAGAATGTGCTCGTGTCCAGTGGAGCCAACCACGAGCATCAGCTGCGTGGCCCGTACGATGTGCCTTCCGTGTATCCTTTAACAAGCGCTGGTGGTGGCCGGTGCCCTTTGAGGTGCAGCCCACCCTGCCTTTTTATACCGACGGGAGGATTTGGGTTGGCCACGAATTGGTCAGTCAGGTGCTGCGTTCTTTCGACGGGGGCTTCGATGCCAAAAGTCGCTGGCGCGCGTTGCTTGGCGACAGTTGACTTGTCAGAAACGTAATGTTATCGCGCGTTTTCGATTTTACTAAAAGTTGAGTTTTCCTGTTGCTGGCCTCTGCCAGCATAACAGGCACACGACCGCTTGCTGTTGACTCAGCCCCAGCTGTGCCGTCGATGTACCCTTAACACTGGTGCAGTGCTCAGCTGATGGGCCTCTCCGCCGCCGCAGCCAAGGCAAGCGTCTCCAGTCTGCCCAAGAGCACCGTCACACATGCCGGTGAGTGCTGCAACGGCACTGCGCTCGTCAGCCTGCGGACGGGGCGGCGTCTGTGACGCAGCGCCGGCACTGTTGGCCCCGGACCGGGGCAGGCTCTATGTGCCTGCGGAGCCCCTGTATGGCCGTGTCGCCGTGGGGCGGTGCCTCTCCGGCCAGCTCCGACAGGGCCAGGTCACGGCCGCGTGCCGCGCAGATCTGCTGTGCGCCGGTCAACTTACACCGACCCTCCGACGCCCGCAGTCGGCAGAAACTGCACCGGGTTCTGCATGGCGCAGCTGGTGCCGGTGCCGGAGGCCGGGGCGGAGCAGACGACCGCCGGCGCCGCGCCTGCCGGCAAGAGGCGTCGCACGACAACCTGACGGCGACTCGGCCAGATGGCACGTGCTCGCTGGGCGCCGGACCGAGCGATGCCGCCGGCGGCCTAGGGTGGGGTGCATATGTACCGCTCATTGGTGATGCGCCGACGCTAGCGCAAAGCTTGAACCTCATGACCGTTGGTTCCCGCGTTGTCAGAAATAAATCGAAGTCTGGATTTCAGATCACTGGTTGGAGTGCGCGAGCGTGAACTTGGCCAATTGATACTACGGACGCGTAAAGCACAGAGCATCCGCCTGAGCATAAGGGTGCTACCACCAGAGGAGACGCTTCCCCTCAATTTTGCAAGTGTTATCGCGTTTACGGCGTGCCATGTGTAGGACGCACGTAACATGTGACATTCGGGGGCCAGAGTCTAGAATAAGATATTGCAGCAGCGACGCACATTTCACGACTAGCCATAGGCTCCCCGTGTTAAAATGCCCTTTTTCAGGCCCACGGCATTCTAAATCTTGAACAGGTGTTTGCACAAAAAGTACATAGAAATGAAGTTTGGACACCTCTCTTTCAATTCCCAGGATCAAAAGTGTGCATCGTGGCACTCCTTTTGAGCTATTAGTCAAACCGTAGGCCATCCAAGCGCCGCGATGTTCAGTCGCCGGGTCGAATCTCGTTGCCGCCAGCTCCTCGGCAGTGTTGAGATGGAACATAGAGTCGATACGGTCGCAGACTGGCGACATGAATATTGAGTGCAATGATCTCTCGATAAGTTTTATCATATGCATATATATATATATATATATATATATATATATATATATATATATATATATATATATATATATATATATATATATATATATATACATGCATGCATATATCCCTGTCGTTTTCCAATGTTTTGGTTGAATGTACTTGCTTTTATAACATTTTCGTTGCGTTCATATATATATATATATATATATATATATATATATATATATATATATATATATATATATATGTATATATATTTGCTTGCTTAGGCAGTATGCTTTCATGAATGCAAGGTGTGTTAAACGCAAGGGCAGAACACTCTCCAGCCTTAAACAGACAAAAACAAATTCCTGTACAACCCTTGAACTATTATGTGGTGGGCGGTGAGCACTATTGATGTCATTGTTGCAATATGTTTCTGTTTTTTGTAGTGTTCTTATTGTGAGTGTATTTGTCATCTATCCAAGTGAAAATAGGATTCTGTCTTACTTTAAGTAGCCATGGTTCATTCGTGTTTTCCGGACCAATATATATATATATATATATATATATATATATATATATATATATATATATATATATATATGTGTATATATATATATATATTCGCGTGCTGTGGCAGCATGCTTTCATTAACGCAGCTTTTGTTATACGCAAGGGCCAATGTACATTTGATCAATTTCTTGTGAGTTTGTTTAATTCCTCGAATTTTCGGCAAGGCATAAATAAACTCGCCTACAGTCATTTGTATCAGCTTCGGCTAGCTGACGTTTCAAGGACATTCTTTCTACATTCTCAAAGCAATGTAAAACGGCCGGGCGACAAACATTCAAATACGGCAAAATGCGAAGCATTCCATACGAGATATGATCATTGGTGAGCTATCAGTTAACATTATACATCCGATTATCTACGTAAGTTGTTCAATGCATTAGCGAGGAACATTAGTCACATAGATAAGAAAGTGGTATGCGCTTTATTCCTCGGCGGAAAAAACAGGAGGATGGAGATATAGTAGGATCGATGTTTCGGCAACATGGTTTTTTAAACAATAGCAGGAGTGAACTCAAAATCGCCTGCCGATGATTCTAGTCGATTTTTTAAGGTTGGTTTTTGAAACAGTGAGCCCCAGTTTTTAAAGAACACCAGTATTCAGGGAAGTACAGAAAAAGCAATGGCCAGCCATTACCACATGCATGCTAGAACACGTGTTTGCATGTACACGTGTGTTCGCGCATTCTTTTTCTTAGGCGCTGTATCGTGGCAATGACTGGCAATCGCTTTTATTTAATCCGCTGAATGTTGGTTTCCTGTAAAATTGGGGCATGCTGTTTAAAAAAAAAAACTGAAAAATCGAGTATGATCATCGCCAGGCAATTTTGAATTCACTTCTGCTATTGTTTCGATAAACGCATGTGGCCGAAACATCAGTCCGACTGTATCTCCATTCTCCTGGCTTTTTCACCGAGGAATAAGGCTAATACCACTGTTTTATCCGAATATTAAGTCAAATTCGAGAACTCCTACAAACAGACGCATGCCACTTTCCAGCCAGTTTAATCCCATGGAAAGGCGAAGACATCGAATCACCCTGCTGTCACTGGGTGACTGCACAGGTCCAAAGTAATGCATGATTTAGGTTGTTTGTTGAAGTCAGTCATTCTTTCTCAGATGACGATGGCTTCAAGAACTTGTAGACGGCGTTTGTTTGCACATGACTTTAGAATCAGTGTTTTCAGCCAGGTCAGAGCGTAGGTGTTTTTGATTGTGGGTTTTGGGCACATCGTGGTCTGGAGCTCCCTCCTGCAGGTGCATAGTCGTGCGTCGTGGTAGATATGTTGTGGTCATACCAATATAGGTAGGGCTATGGAGCCGGCAGCCTCTTTAAAGGCATTTAACTTGATACACTATTGGTTCGCTTCAGTTGGTTTTGGTCCGCGGTCAGGCTGTTTTTTATAAGGATGTTACTAGTTGTTCTGTTCTTGTAATAGATGGCAAGTCTTATTTCAGTGTTTTCGTCAGCCGGTGTGATATTTGTTTTCATTATGTTCCGCAAAACTTTTTCATCCACCTTGTCTGACAGGAATATTTGATTTCGATAAAAAAGTTGATGGGCCGGTTTCTTGTCGAGTGGTTTCTAGTTTGGCCGATTCAAGGTGGACTCAATGTCTTCACAGATGGCTCTTTCCGAATAGCCATTATTAAGGAGTGACTGCTTACACCGTTTAAGCTCGTGGTGCGTGGTGGACTAGCTGGAGCAATATTTTAGGGCACGTTGTACAAACGAACGTGTGACGGCCGAGCGGTAACGCTCCGGGCAACAAAGGTGTCAACAAATATGGTTTGTTCAGTTCCAGTGACGATGTTATGATCGTGGTAGACTTCAGAACATAAAGATTCATCCTGTGTGATGGTGATGTTATAATGGTGGTGTTTCTGGTAAGGTGATCTCGGGTGATGTGGTCCTGTTCTTTTCTCACGTGCTCTTTTGGGGCTCTTTTTCAGCCAAGTTCATCATCAACCACCTTGGTAGTGACACCAACGTACCTTGATCGCTTAAGGAGCCTGCAATCTCGTATGACACAACGAAATTGGTAAACTACGTTGGTTCCTTTGAAGGGGTCAGATTTGACCGTGATTAAAATTGCATCTTAAAAAATAGCCTTTCCCGTTTCAGTTGCAGCCAAATGGATGGTAATGAACTTCCCTTTTCCCGAACCACGACAATGCAAACGCCATCTTTTCTAGAAAGCTTGACTGGAAATGTGAGATGACTCACTTTATAATATTTAAAGAACATATAAAACACGTTAAAAGTACCGCATACATTTTGTACCATTGTCACAATGTGAAATGCACCACGGCAAAGCAGGTAAGTTTGTTGTCGTGTTTTGCGTCTTGTCACATAATGTCACGCCCGTAAAATGGTGAGTCAACTTCCAGATATATTGATTTGATCGCCTCATTAAATTTTAAGCAGCATTGGCATAGTGGTCGCTTCACCAATTGGTCAATATCCAACTTACTTTCAGATGTGGATAGCGTGCGGAACGGCACATCATTGTACATTCGACGCGCCTAAGCGATTGGGATCGAAATGAATCCTTTTTTAGAATGGCTGCTGCAGATAACCATTGCACGCGAATTTTGTGTTTTGTGGGATTACCGGCGACTGATTTTGGAAACTAAGACGAAGGTGGTGATTTTATCCCCGTCGGTGGTAAATTCATTTTCGCTCGGAAAGCCTATGCGATAGATTTATTATCGATTCCAAATGCCCCTTTATGTCACTTCCAGTTAAGCTAGGCCATGAAATTTAACAAGTTACCAGTTCGATCCATTCAGTTTTATTTTTTGAAATTTTCAAAAACAACTTTTTGATTTTCAAAAACATTTTCGGGGACCGAAACCAGCAAGCCGATATGTCTTATCTCCGTTCATGCGTATATTGGTTACTGTTGGAATGCAGCGTTGGACCTTAAGCTGGGTTAGCAATGCAAGAATACTAGTCAACGGATCTTCTCGTGGTAAAAGGTAGAAAACGCGAGAGGCGTCAAAGGGAGTCCGAAATTTTATAACTTTGAAATAATTAGATTGTTGAGCCAGCTACAGCCAAGAAACTGACTCGCGTAGCGCTATGGGAAAACGTTTCTTTCGTGTTGTACATGCGTGTTTTACACGCGTGACAAGGCCTGGCGGTTTATAATCGGCGCTCAGATATGCATATTATTGGTTGCAATGTACTCGGTCCAGTATAACGAGAGCGGCGTTTCATGTTGATGTTATCACATTGGAGACGGGTGGCCGGTCCTGGATAATTACAAGCGCCAGACATGTACTGTGATCTAGCTTCGTGTAGCTGGGACCCCCGCAGCGCAATAAAGTTGTTTTTTTTAACATAAGGAATCTTACAGGTACTTTGGGTGGTACTCATTTGCCACCATCGTTGCTACGATGTCATCTCACATACGGGCGCAGACAATGGAGGGGGGGGGGGGGGGAGCAGGCACAATGGCCTCGTGGCCCATTCGGTTCCTCAGGATCCAGAGGGTTCCTCAGGATTGACAATGAACGGCCCGATTAGAGGGCTTGAACGGCCGAAAAGCTGGCCGGAGTCCCCAATCCGAATGGCCGGGGCCCTCTGAGGTCAGGGGGCCTCTGGCGGTGATAGGGGCCCTTGTGACAATAAAGCCCCTCATTGCGGTCGAGATGGCCAACAACCAGCTCTTTGTCGGACTGAGGCCCATTTTCTAAGCATTGACAAGGTCTGGATCTGCGAATGAGGCCTGGCAAGTCGCATTAGTCGGGGTTCCCGTGCCGAGCAGGATGTCCTCTGATCCCAGTGCATGCATAATAGGAAATTATCTGCCGCTCGAGTCGGCAGAGGCCCATTTGGTGCCCATCACAGCCCACCACAGGTCTTGTACGTTGAAGCGGCCCGCTTTTCAAAGGGGCCCTTAGTAACGAA